GAGCTTCCAACTTAAAACCAATTGGTGATTAGTGGATTGGCTCCAACCCTTTATATAGTAGTAGATTAATTCTTATATTTCCGATGTGGGATGTTTCTCATCAATATAAGAATTAATCTACTACTATATAAAGGGTTGGAGCCAATCCACTAATCACCAATTGGTTTTAAGTTGGAAGCCCATAATAAACCCGAATCTAACATGGTATCAGAGCGATAAGATCCTTTGACCTAATTTACTACAATTACTACTATACCGATGTTGGACCTTCTGTGGATGTTATTCCCACATTGTCCACGCTTCAGACCTAGAAATGTCTGAGCGTGAGGGAGGGTATTGATGAGAAACATCCCACATCGGAAATATAAGAATTAATCTACTATTATATAAAGGGTTGGAGCCAATCCACTAATCACCAATTGGTTTTAAGTTGGAAGCCCATAACAAACCCGAATCTAACAATATTAAAGCAAGGTTGATATACTAAATAGTATATGTCTTTTAATTCTGATACAGTGATTCGATATTGCAAACATACCAATTCACGGTCTCCTCGATGTTGCCTACCTATAGTAAGCTCATCAAAGCTGGTCTCAAGATATGGGTTTATAGGTACGTTTCTATATATATAGCTGGTATTTATTTTTTATTCAATATTGATTTTTCAAATGTAAATGTCAAATAGTTGTGGTCAAAGTAATATAGAACGCCCAATCAAATACAAAGAAAATCGTTAATTCAATATTATTTTTTCTCCTGAACTAAATTATTATTATTTATGAAACGGATCAGTACTTTCAAATATGTTGCGAGACTAATGGTGGATGAACCCAATAAATCCTTGTTGAAACATGATAATATTGCACGAGATACTTGTAGGATCACAAAGAATTTACATAAAGCCTACGAATTTGATTTTCTTTATGTTTACCATTTTTTTCTTTTATCTTATTGCAGAAATCCCATTTACTGGGGTAAATTTCAAACTAAAACCACAAAATAATTTAAGAATGGTATTTAGACACTCAACATGAAGGAAGTGATGTTTGTTTTTTTTAAAAGTTATATTTTGATAGATAAAATAAATCATGGTATTTTTTGAAATATTTTACTAAAAAATTAATAAACAATGGTGATTCATGGGAATGATATTATATAACACAAGATTCATGAAGTAAACTCACCAAGGATTCTATGATAACTAAATTTATCCACCAAACTATTGTACGTACGTCTCTTTGGATTTACATCTCTATAGAAATAATATGTCTGCTATCTCACTCTCTCTCTCTCTTTTAATTAAACTTTGAGAAAGAATAGATGCATGGACTGTTAAATATTTGTTAGTGTCTAACAGTGGAGACGCCGACGGGAGAGTGCCGGTGATCGGAAGTCGGTATTGTATTGAAGCTTTGGGTCTTCCCGTCAAATCTGAATGGCGCTCTTGGTTCCACAATCATCAGGTTACGCTTTATCATGTAAAATTATTATTTACGGAGGAAATACACATATTGAGATGAATAATATTATTTTTAGTTAGTAGATTCTACATTGATGTTAGGTATTTAAGTATGTATTCAAGTCTATATTTATTTGTTATGTGATTGGTTGTGAAGGTTGGAGGGAGGATAACGGAGTACGAGGGAGGGTTAACGTTTGTAACGGTGAGAGGAGCAGGACACTTGGTTCCTCTCAATAAACCTGAAGAAGCTCTCGCGCTTTTTAGTTCCTTTCTTAATGGTCAAGAACTTCCATCACGCCCCTAGATACTCTCTCTTGTTTCTTGTTTGTGTGTTATTACTGATAATAAAATAAAACATGGATGACTAATAAATCCAACCACATGTAACATATATTACTGTTCTAATCCAACTATCTTATGATAATAATAATGAGTTTGGACTTGCAACAAGTATCACATGAATGTGTACGAACTTGGTGAAAACATAAATATGTACTCTTATACAATTATTTAGTTTCCTGAGTTCGCTGATGATGAAGAAAGTAAGTGACTTTCCTTTTTTTCAAATATCTGCCTCTCTTGGACTCTGTTTCTCACTTGTTGTTTGAAAACAGAGGAGCTATACGAGTTTATCTTCCTTAAAACTCGGTTTAATCTAACTTTAATTGTTTCAACCGGTTTATATGTGCTTACGTGTTTGTCTAGAAGATACCACTCTGTTTTGATGATGTGTAAACCTCTGTTTGTGTAGTGAGACACTATGAGTTGGTTTACTTGATTCATGAAAAACATGCTGATGAGGTTGAAAACGTCAATGAGAAATTTCAAGGTGATCAAAAGTTTTCTCCTTTGTCCACCAATCTTACATTGGTTCCTTTAGTTAAAGCTGTGATTGTGTGTTATGTTTTTCAGAGTTTTTGAAGGAGAAGAAGGGGATGGAGGTTTAGTGATTGGGGTATGCGTAGGCTAGCGTATAAGATACAGAAGGCAGAGAGTGCACATTATATACTGATGAACTTTGAGATGGAAGCTAAACACTTGCACGAATTCAAAGGGATGTTGGATGGTGATGAGAGGGTGATTAGGCATCTTGTGATGAAACGTGATGAGGCTATTACAGAAGACTGTCCTCCCCCTCTTGAGTTTCACTCTGTTCGTGCAAGTATGAACGATGATGATGAGGAGGAGGAGGATGAAGAAGAGTTTGATGATTAAGAGTATGAAGTAGATGATGATGGTAATGTTGTTATGGTGTTGTATGAAGATGATGAAGAAAATGGGGCTGATGAACAGGAGCACAAGGACATGACCAGTCAAATACAGCCATAAGAGAAAACCGAACAATAGTTAACATTCGATGAGGTTAGAGAGCTGTTTGTTGTGGATTCTCACATAAAAATACCAAATCAAGAATGAGAAACTAAACACTTAAACTTGTTTGAAGCTGTCTCTAAAGAACATAAAATAAAGAAACAACAATCCATTAGAAACTCAAAAGCACACTACCATTAGATTAGATCCTTGCTCACAAATAGAGCATATATTCTTTAAAATATTTTGTTTGTCGACTTATTTAAAAAAAACGTTTAATCAAATCAAAAACTGGTGAATCGAAATGAAAACTATAATATTATCTTATTAATTTTCCTTATTATTTTTGCAACATTTATAGCACAAAAAAAAAGATAATAAATATAAATTTATTATCTACTAGACAAAAGTTTTGATGATGTCCATAGTCATATCGGCGATATCATGGACGGCTTTGTTACGTTGGCTCAACGGTAAAGGAGAATGTCCGGCGAACTGGTTCTCACAATCCCCCGCCGCCGTCACAACGTCTTGCATGTTAGCTATCGCATCAGAATACTTCTTAGCCTTTAGATTAGCTATAGCCGCCGGCAAATACCTCTTGATAGACGCACCGTAATCCTGATCAATGCAAGTTCCGTACCTCTCAAAATCTCCGCGATCTGTAATGCCCCGGAAAACGGAGATGAGATAAGCTAACGTCTCGCTCGTCTTCTTTGTCGTCGCATCGATAGAGATCGACGCAAGCCCTAGTAAATGAAAAATATAAGTATATTTGTTAGGCTACATAACTACTTTGAATCATAACCATCTACTCATATGTTTATAGAAAAATATTGTTATTAATCAAGTTGTTATGTCACAATGATTTATAATCTTACCTTGGAGATTTGAGGTTTTGCTTCTAGGATCAAGATTGAGAGTAGAGACGCATAGAGTTTGATAACGGTTTCTTTTGCAGAGTTGCTGTATAAGATTAGGTCCTGGAGGAGACGAATTTGATTGAGACAAGGCTATTTGGATTTGGACAAACAAGACAAAAACAGCGAATAATTTCATAAAGTTGTTCATTTTGTTATACTGAGAGCTACAAAAAGAACAGAAAGTTAGTGAATCGTTTCTGATTTGTGAGATTGCCCTTTTATTGAGTGAAAAGTTTTTAGGTTGGTTGCTGAAGAGATAAAAAAAATTCCTTAGTTTCAAAATGCGTATAAAATAGATATGGACATCAAGTTAATAAGAGTTACTATAAGACAAAGACCAACAGATTATCCTTGTTTAATTTACTGGTTTATTGTGATTTAATTTCCAATAAGGCAACTAAGACCATGATCAATGGGATCTTTTTGGGAAGATATCTTAGTGTAATTAGAAACTAAAAAAGAAAGAATAACTTTTAACTAACAAACATATCATAAATAAGAGATATAAAATATATCTCTTAACACAAAAAAGTAACAAATCATGCTATAAGAATTTCATTAGGACCTCCCCCATTAATCATGTTCTAACTAGGGTTAGGCACAATTACTTGATATCTGGCTGGTACTTGGTACTTGATTCGGCTCGGCTTGAAAAAATAAGTACTTGATACAATCAAGTCGAGTAACAAGTAAACATATTTTATTACTCGCAGTCAAGTATCAAATTCATTTTTATTTTTAAATACTTGGTTTGTTACTTGTTATCATTTACTTGTCTCTTTTATTTATTAAATACTCGATATCTATTTCATTAGTTAATTAAAATTTATCTATTCCATTTTATAAGTGGCCACAAATAATTTTACTTAACTTCTATTTGGTACTTGATCGGTACATGATTTTTAAAGACGAGTACTTGTTATGTACAAATCGAAGCAAATAATCAATTTCAATTACTTGTACGTACAAAAGAATATTAAATATTAAAAGAAAATTAACTACTTAGTGTTTTTTTTTATTTGTTACTCATTTTTTGTTAATGAACAAATAACTCATTTATTTCTATATTCAGAAGTGAATCAAACATAAATTATATATTTATATTAATATCTTGGAATTTTCTTCTTATTATATATTTTATTTCCGGAGTTGGCTAATACACATGAAAAACAATGACATGCTATTTATATATAATAAAATTATTTACCTTTAAATTCCAATGAATTTTCAAATAATTTACTAATAATTATCAAGTAACTTGTAAATAATGTACAAGTAATAAAAAAATGTAAGTAACTTATAAGTCCGTCAACTTTTAGTAAGTACTTAAAAACCATATTTACTCGTTTTCACCAAACCAAGTACAAATCCAAAATTTTAACTACTCATATAAACTAAATCAAATACTAAGTATACCAAAAATACCAAATACTCGGTTTGTGCCCAATCCTAGCTTTAACCTCTTTAGATCAAAGACCAATATAGGGCAATCAACATCTTACTTGACCGAAAAAGACCACGACCATTTTGTATACTAGCTAGCCTTTATTGTCTTTTGACTCGTTTTTACTGTTTTTGAATGTGTTTAGACTTTATCTTATTTCTGTAATTTTATTTATTTTTAAATCATTCAATCTTTTTAGTTATGTATGATGTATCTTTATTTAAAAAATTAAAAACTTACATCAAAATTCTACCAATATTTGTTTTTAGTCATGATTTATATTAATTTCTAAAACTACAGCAAACAAAATAATAGAATAATTTTTATTCACTTTTGAATAAATTTATTAACTATTAATTTTATTAAATAGCATACATTTATATATTACACTAAATAAGAAATTTATTTTGATATCTTATATTTTGTATAGTATTTTAATTTGATATAAAAGAATTATTTTATATATACATCACATATTTCATTTTAAAATATCTACATGAAAAAATTTGCAAATGCAACCAACTTAACTAAAACAGAATCTCTGCAAAAAAAAAAAAAAAAATCTACATCAATAAAATTACAGTTAAATTACCTGCAAAACAAATTTTATACCTAATTTCTACTGTTATAATCTAACCACTCATCATATGTGTCCCTTCAGTAACAAACAATTTATGAATAACGAATTATGGAAAAATTTATTACTTATCAAATTTGAAAAGTACAATGAGTAATAATTTATAGAAAAATTAATGCAGAAAAATTTATGACATTTTATCTATGTTTTTTTGTGATCCTTTTTTATTTAATGAGTTATAAAAAACTGATTACTATTTTCTTCATTTCATTTTATTTGTCGTTTTAAGTTTGTGTATACAAATTAAACAAAATTAATTTTGCATTTTTTTGAACTTAAACATCATACCTATAAACCTAATTATATTTGAAATAATAAAAAAATAGAATATTATATAAATTTAATAAATTTTGCATTAAAATCATAAAACGACACTATTTTAAAACAAAAATTATATTCTACAACAACAACTAAATTGAAACGGAAGTAGTTCAAATTTGAAAAAGTACAATAAGCAACAAATGTTCAATATTAATTCTTAAATTATTTTCCTCTTCATATTTTCATTCCTGTTGTTTTAATGGTTACCCGTAATAATTTAAATTTTAGTTTAAAAGAAATTAAGACCTTACCACTATGGTTAAAGTTTATTAATATGAATATATAATGAATAGATGATATCCAAAACTAAAATTATGTTTGTCAACTTATTTTAACTAACTAGTTGCATATTCCCCGCGCAAGCGCGGAGCCGGGATCATTATGTTTGCGTGTATTTTTTTCGATTGTTGGTTTAGTGGATTCTTCTAATGACACCAATTAATAATGAAATGGAAAATTTCATG